ACTTTGAGGCTGCTCCGGTGCATTAAGATCGTGTTATTGCCATGGATGCAAAGCTTGAATGGCATATTCTACATGGGGACGAACATACGCACTGAGCATTTGTCGAAATATGGAGCTGTTTATCTGTCTAGACGCCGGTCGCAACAGTCTGACGTGATGGTTTCTAGTCTTTGAGGCTTTTTCCGATTGTTTGCAGCAACCCAAGTCATCTCGCACCAGCACACCCAAGTAACGTTCGACAGTTGATTGTTGAAATATATTCGTTCCGCGCTGGTATGAATAGATACGTCAATGTCGAATGGAAGGTAACTTGCATTTACACACGTTGAAATGCAGTAAATTTAGTGTTGACCATTTATATACCGTGTCTAAATCACTCTGAAACAGATGCTGATCGGCGTTCACCTGGATTATGCACCAGATTTTGATATCGTCGCCAAACATTAGGAAGTTTGAAGCGATTCCCTGTTCAAGGTGATTAATAAATAAAAATGTAGACCTGAACCTAGAACTGAGCCTTGCGGCACACCACACTCGACTTGTATGGGGTTCGATAAACAGCTCCGAACGCTGGCTACTAATTGCGTTTGAAGTAGAAAGTTAACAATCCAGCTTAAAAGCGGGTCGCCGATCCCGTAAAGCTGGAGCTTGGAAAGTATTATCCGATGGTCTAGACCATCGAAAGTTTTCGAAACATCCAGGTAGCTCACATCAACTTCTTCACCAGCGTCAGCTGACTCGGTCCAAGTACTGCGTGCGATTAGTAAATTCGTTGTGCATGACGGCTGTTGGCGGAAGCCATGCTGCTCAGGCGTGATTATGTTGCAGTTTCTCATATAGCACACCAGTGTATAGGCTACGGTAGATTAAATGAAATGGAGAGTATAGGAAGAAGGGATGCTTGGCGGTATTTAGAGGACCCAGTTCTGCTTCCATCTTTGTCAATTGGGGCTATTATTCCAAGATTCCACGTAGCAGGTACTTGATGCTGGCATAAGCAATACTGGAAAATCTCAGTTAAATATCCTGCTAGTTTGCTTGGTCCTGCATCTAGTACCTGAACAACTTGTATCGACCCTCGGCGAGCTTTGTTTGCGTAGAGAGGTCAGCTTTTGCAATAGAGCATCCGCGGTAAAAGTGATGTTGTTTAGCCGTGGCGGATTGACCACAAAGATTGGAACGTCGCTTAGTAACAAGACCCTCTGAAACGTGGAGCATATTCCATCAGCAGCGTGTTTGCTGCTTACACAGCCTTTCTTGTTGGGCCATCATCTGTTCTGAGTGTAGGAAATCCTAGCCTCACGTTTCATAGCCCGTTGACGTTTTTGTGCAGCAGGTTGTGGTTAGCACTGAAGGATTTTGCCACGTTGTGCTGATTTGCGGCTTTGTCTTCATTTAGCATTTTAATGCATTTGTTACGATGGATTAGGTAATCGTTCCGCTTCTGGTGCCTGAGCTCTCTGTACACTCGCCAAGCTGCGTTGCGTACTATCGTCCATTTTCGAGTTCTGCCCCTAACGAAAGAAACTTATTTACACTTATCGCAAACCTTTATCTCTGAAGTCTCTGCAATCAGCTGACTGAATTTGTTGGCGAACTCGAGCCAGGCGACTCCCAGGGGTTCTTCGTCAAGGCACGACGAGCTGGCTTAAGCGATTGCAGCTTGTGATGGTTCTCACAGTCTCCTCGTTCACATTCCGATATTTTGCACAGCGGACGAAGTTGTAACTGCGTGATCACTGCGACCTAACAGGCCGTATACAACCAACACATCAATCATATGCCCCTCGTTGGTTGGCACAAAATATGGCATAGATGGCCTGTTACCAGTTTTGAACCGAGTGGGCAAAGTGATCTGGTTGTAAAGAGGAACCGCGGTTGCGAGCTGTTGTGGATTGGCTTTGTATTGTTCTCCATCATCGCAGGGATTTCTAAACAATGTACTCCGAAATCACCCATAATAAGGACGTGCGTGTACTTTTGCTGTAAACTGCATCTTACAGTAGCCGCTAGGTTGTAGTCAGTTTCGGGTGTAGAGTTAGGAAGGAGGTACATTAAGACAATAAGGCAAGCGTCCCTGCCTTTTAACCGCAAGCGGCACCGAAGAGTGTCGGACGACTGGGAGTCTGAATCCTCCACGGCTTCGCACAGTAAGTCGCTTCGGTAATACAGGATTACCCCTTCTCCTTTTAATGTGCCAGTCGTTTCGGATCAGCTACATGCCCGGTGGCGAAACTTTAGCGTCCGTCTTTCCTATGTGCTACCACGTCTTGGTGATACGAATGACATCAAATGACTCAGAAGCTTGGCGATCTTTCCGTTTGACCAGTTTATTAAAAAGGCCCTGAGCATTCGTATATAAGCAGGCCAGTTTCTCGGTCACTAGTAGCCCATAGAGGGGTGAAGCTGTCAAGTGTGCGAGAACGCCGACCGATAGGAGGTCGGCAGTTAATCGTTTTTTGGTTGGGATAATGATACCTCATCCGAAACGTGATTCGGCCAAGATACGTCCCAATCTTTGTTTAGACCGTACGTCAGGATGAAATAAAGCAGCAATCAAGTTACGTTGCTGTATCACCGTCGGTACACTTGCTGCTTCAGCCGCTTTGATAGTTGAACTTTGAAAATATTCTGCTACTTTTAACCGAAGAGCAGAAAGAAGACGTTTCCGATTGCTTCGCCATGGATCCAGCATATCCGTTGCTTGCTGCTCCAACTGAACCATAAGTTTTAGGATCCCTGGGGCTGCATCCTCAATAGTTTGATTAGAGAGGTATCCTGGTGAGCAGAGCGCAACAATATTAACCAAAGAATGTGTTTCACGAATGAACCGCCAGTTTACTAAATCGTGCTTTCCGGTTCGTTGAATATCGTTAGAAAAATGCTCTGGCACGCCATGTATGAGAATTGTGTTTAGGCGCTCTTTCTTTCTGTGTCCCTCTTAGGAGTTTCTTTTTGATTGTCGCAAGCTCCAAGGGACATCAGGATAGATGAGTATCCCTCAGCATCCGCTTCTTAGCGCGTTTTCGGAGAGCAAAAGTTTTTATATGTCGGTTGAGCAATCTAATGTTACTCGCATAAGTCTGTGTTCTCCATATTGTGGCGAGTTTGGATGACGAGTAGTTTGTAATAGGTTTATGGGTTTGGTCTTAACACTCATCACACGCAAGGTGTTCCATTGGTCTTGGTCTTCCTATAATTTACCCCACAGCGTGATGGCGGTAGATTCAGGAACATTTGAGCATACAACAGTCCGGACACTATTGTTGGATCCTTTTCGCGTTGATCTACAAGGTATGGTACTCGTTTGTCCTGACCTGCTGACAAGTGATGATTGTTTACTGTTTGTCCCTCTATACGGTACGTACAACAGAAGATTCCGTAACGGTGACCTCCCGTCTGACCATCGCAGCAATCTCTGCATATGTGACTGAGATTCCGGGGGACATTGTCTCGACAAGAGACATATGAGCAACAGATACCAAGGGCTGGTGTTCGCCTGCTTCATCCTTGTTAATTCTAGATGGCAGGTCTAGCGGAATATGCTTAAGAAGACGGTTCAGGTGGGGCCTGATTTTCGTTGCCGTGAGTACGGTTTGACTCTCGTAGTTAATGTCAGTTTTCGTTCGACGTTCTACAAAAGTGTGAGAAGACAACGGAGATGAGGACGTGGCTGATTGAGATTCAGGGGTAGTGGATTGGGAAGCATTCCGTTGCGTAGAGGCCGCTACGCTTCCGCGGTGCATGCTTCCATTGAAGTAATCCTATCGTTTAGTTTATGCCCGGCTTATGCGGTTAAACGGTGGCAGTTCTGAACTAGGATAAGCAAGTACTTGACGAGTGGGATGGTCAAGCACGTAGTACAGAACCAGTGCGCATTTGGGAGCTAATTCGTGATCGTCTTTGTTGTTGGGATACTTTTGCACATTTCGGATGAAATCATTCCAGGCAGTGCGAGCAACTCAAATTCATTTTAAATACTCGATGACATTCTCCTAACCCACAAATACCTGTTGTTTGGAGCCTTTTCGCATTCTTATTTCCGCCGGTCAACCTGGTATCGTTACCTGACTTAGTGGGTTGGTTGGCGTTATGTATTTTCCAAGCCTTGAGAGCCTTGCGCATCGGTCAGGCGAGCGTGGTGATTGCAAGGTCAAGCGGGCGGTCGGTGTGGTCTCGTGGTCCGTACGATGGGTTATGCTGACGCTCTGGCTGATTAGGTCACGAGGATTGGCGAGTGACTGGAACCTGCTAACTGAATCTGAACACAGCGGTGAACACAGATTGAGAGATGACAAATTCTTTCACAGATACGTTGAGAAAATCCGAATTGAAATAAGCTTAGGTTTTTCGCACTGGCTGGAGTATTCTGTATCGAACGGTGGCACGCAGAAAGGTATTCGGCTGCATGTGATTGGGTTATCCGCTTGTGCTTAATCACGGAAGACAGTGAAAAAGGTTAGTGATTGTAAGGACTATAATGGTTAGAAAAAATTTCACATATGATAGATCACTCTATAGGGTTGGTAAATCCCGTTTGTATGAGCGCGCAATGACAAATCTGCTAGAAGATGGAGGGACGATGGAGAAGAATGATCCAAATGAACCACAAGCATGCACCTCACGCCTGCGTGGCAAGCCATTCAGCACAATTTTTTGAGGCAAAGTTGTGAGCATTGGCTATGTGTTCCTCTCGTTACATGAGATGATTTTCTCTTGTATACAATGTTTTACATTCTCCTCGATCCGGAATGTTACTTTTTCTCCTTTTCCCCTTGCTCCACCCCCCGTTCTACAATGTTGTTAATTTTAGAATGACTGCAGTTACTCTCTTATGTGTCGCAACATCTTTGCTTTTGTATCGTTTACGAATATTTGCAGTCTAATGGTTATTTTCTTTGTTATCCCCAACTACCTAAGGTTTACTCGTACTTTCCATGGCACAGTGTTGATATGGACAAAACGCCTAAATTACATAAACGTATATTTTCGCTCCACAGATCGACCGGCGCTAAGAAGAAAAAGACGACCATACACACGGTTTCAAACAATGATATTAGAAAAGGAATACAATGAAACGTCCTATATTACGAGGCAAAAACGGTGGGAGATCTCATGTAAGCTTCAACTGACCGAAAGACAGGTAAATGCACTCAAATATGAGGGTTTGCTTTGCTGGTGTTCGTTTGATTTTTGATTTTTGTTCACTCAGCCACATCGAGTATGTTAAGGTCTGAATCAACAAGTGTCTAAGGCATTACTTACGAGTAAAAGGATTTTGGTGAGTATTTTTGTTCGTCGCAATCAGCTGACAATTCAGATAAGTCAACTACCTATCCGGAAGAGCACCAGACGTCCTTTTCGCCTTATTGGAGTTCGTCAGTGGTGCGCATCCTTCGGTCCTATAGGGCGGATCGAACCCATGACTGCTAGTGGCTTGTGCCAACTAGCCCGCAGCTTATGTAACTGAGCCAGGTCCTCCATTGCTCAGTTGAATAGGCTGCGAGCTAGTTAGTACAAGCCACTAGCAGTCATGGGTTCGACCCTCCCTAGAGGACCGAAAGATGCGCACCACTGACGAACCCCAAAGGGGCGAAACGGCCTTCTGGTGTTTTTCGGATAGGTAGTTGACATACCTGAATTGTCAGCTGATTGCGACAAACAAAAATGTCTAAGACGTTCTTCATAGTCAGAAAAGTTATACAAAGCCGAACTTGTCTCCTTCGAAGCAGAGAAGTCACTTGATCAGGTTAGTATACAACTGTGCAGTTGGCTTTTTCAAATTGGCTATCATGTCTTATTGAATATATTCAAGGTAAGGCACTGCCTTTTCAAACTGGTCTGCGCTGCTCATAGTTCATTCCTCATTACTATCAATATAAGTACATTGGGCGTTTGCACTGATAATTTGACTCCGTGCAACCACAATGACCAACAGTACCATAAATAAGAAGTGAGAGAAGGGAGACCTATAGTGAAACCTTAGGGCCGTAACAAAGAACAACGATTTTAACAATGATTTTAGGAAACACTGCCTTATAAATCCCGTTGGGTTATCTGGTATGTTATTGAAAAATGTTAGTAAAAGCGCATTAGTAGTTCTACTGTCAAGAGAATAAACCTATCAAATGTAGTGCTATAGCCCTTCACTCTGATTGTTTCCATTACTTCGATAGGGGCAAATAAATACAGGTTATTGCCCAGTACTAAAATAAAGAGTAGTATCAAGTGAGAAAATCTAAGTAGCAGAGTGCGTCCTCCAACCGACATTTAAACATGGCTATCGCGGATGCAAAATCAACCGATTCGGGGAGAGGGTTCCATGGTTGACACACACACGAATGGAAAATAAATTTCTGCGACACTCCAGATGACCGTACTGTTCTGTTACTTTCAAGGAGTGTCCTCTAGGTCTGGTGTTAGTGCTGAGTTGCAGTAAAGAGTGGCATACATGATTTGGATTGTGTGCAATCAACTACTACATAATCAAGTCGCTTCGTAGTCTGTGATACCATTCCCATAATATTCCCAAACTTTTCAGTCTTTGCTTGTACAGAAGGTGGTGGATTCCAATGACTTATTTAGAAGCCCGACCTAGACGTTGGTCCAGTGCAGTAAGGTAGTGCTTAAGCCATGGTTGTCGGGCTGGAATTGTGTATTCGACATGGGAGCGAACATACACATTAGGCGACCGTCTGAAAATATAGGTGTCTATTTGTCCGAACACCTGTCTTAACAAGCCAACGAGTTGGATACCAGGTTTCGATACCTTTACGGATTGCTTGGAACAACCCAAGTTATCCTGAACAAGCACGCTAAGGTCGCGTTCGACGGATAATCGCTGCAGTACTTGAGTGCCTACCCTGTAGGAAAAGGTACTCTAATGTCGTATGGAGAATACCCTGCCCAAGTCGAACAGCAGCAGATTTCGGGTTGACAACTCATGTACCATATCTAGGTCCCACTGAAGTAAATTCTGATCGACATCCGCCTGAATTCGGCGCCGTATCTTGATATCAGCAATCAACAGCAGAAAATTTGGAGCGATTTTCTGCGCAAGTTCATTGATGTATACCAAAAGCAAGTTTGGACCTAAAACTGAGTCCGGGTGAACGCCAGACTCGACTGGTTTCGGGTCGCATAAGGTACCCCGGACTATGACCACTAATTGTCGTTGTCGGAGAACTTTGACGATTCGGCTCGAGAGAGGGTTACCGATCCCGTAATATTTGATCTTGGAAAGGATAATCCGATGACCTAAACCAGCCATTCTCCACGGAGATCATGTGGCCCCCTGGGGGACACAAATGATTCACAGGGACCGCTGGGATATGAAAATATTTTTGGGGGCCATAGGGGGCCATACGAAACTATGCTCTGCAAAGTAGTTTGTATGAACCCAAAAAGAAAAATCTTTTTTAAAACCTTTCCGATAGTTTTTCTCCGCGCACTAACCCCTGGTAACTACCAGTCCGTGAAATGAATTACGCGCGCGCAAGTGGCCGTTTACGAAAATATGAAGGCCAGATCGGGCAGACTTTCTGTTGTGGAACTAGTATGGCTCCACCAAAACAGCAGATTTCACCGGAATTATATTAAACAGACAATCACCATACAGTGACTTAGACTGCTCAATGAACAACCGATTCCTCCTCAGGACTTTAATGTCTATCCACAGTGAACAGTCTGAGTTTCACTCAGGACACGGATGCATCTACGGCGCAAGTTGCAGTGAACCCATCGAACCCTTGTCAGAAAGCTGCGGCAGTTACCGTACAGCTACTGACACACTACCACTGTATGACAACTCATGTGCCGGTCAGTCTCTCTCCTTCGGGTCTCAGCGACGTAGCGCTAAGTTACGCGCTTTTCCTTTTCAGTGTTATATCGCGTATTCGTCAGGCGGCTAGCACACGTTTGCTCGATGGGTTCCGAATTCGAATGGCTGCTCTGCGTGCGTGGGGTATTAGCTCTGAAGTACGTTCGTTCGTTCCGGCTAGCAGTCGAAACAGCTAGGACGCGTAACAACGCTTTCTTCATATTCAGTTCAGCAAAACTTTTCAAATTGGTGAGCAGTTTTGTCAAGTTTAAGCATACGCGTGGACATCCGATTTCTTTGATGAGTATATGTGACATGATGTGTACATAAGGATACTTCTCCTAATACGCATCGTAATCGAATGCCTTTCTAACACGCATTTGGCACCATGTTAGGCAACAGTCGATGTGCGTTATTAGTTTCGTTGTGGACTTGCCTGTGTCGGTTTCTTGAACTATCCGGCATTCACTTTCGTGTTTATCTCTTCCGTCCTTCCTGTTACCTACTGCCATTACTTGGTTTAATTTTCCTGGAATGAATAAGGTTCCAGTGAGCACTGTCATTGGTTAAATTCCGTTTGTTTTCTTCATTGGCTTCTTTCAAGAAATTTACTTCAGTTCATTTAGCTTGCCACGGTAGGTTCAGTAGCATTCTCAGAAACCACCTTTGGGTTGCCCTTAACAGTGTTTCTACAGTTCTACACTTTAACATTTTAGCTACTAACAAGTAGTACCAGCATGCTTACTGTCTCTTCTTATAATCTGACGGTCAAGCAAGAATAAATCGAGTGACACCAATAATTCATACCACCTGCGTCTATCGCCTTGTCGAATGCCGTCATTTAATGCACATGATATAACTGTATAAGAAGCTTAACACAAAAGCAGGATATGTAATATACATGTTAACAATTTACAATCATATGCTTCAGAAATGATCCCTAGGCAAAACATAAATTTCGGTTGTACTCCGTAGAATACCTGTCATTTGGATTCAGCGCATCATTTCAAAAGCCCACTCTATATAAAGGTTTAATTTGCCAAATCACTCTTTCATATGAAAATATGCGACCACATATCATCATCATCATCATCATGCACGTTAGCTAGAGGTGGGAAACACCTCAGCTACTGTGCCGCAATACATAGAAAAAAAGGAGAAAAAACAACTGGTGAAAGCTGATTGAGCTACCGGTAACGGATGGGCATCGTTCCGGTAAGCTACCAGCCGGCTGCTGTGCACCCAAAAAAATTATTATGCAAAATTATATAAGGCTAAGTAAGGAGATCGTGGTTGGAGGGGGAGGCTAAGAGGGATGGGGTGGGACAAAGAAACTCACAGCATGAACGCCACTGAGGTCGGCTCCTTGCCATATCAGCAACTGTGTCCAACCAAACGTGTTCATCGTCTTTCGGACCCCAACCAGGGAACCGAGACGCTCCAACCGAGGCCAGCTCAAAAGTGAGGGTCTTCATTCCTCTCGACCAAGTCAACCGCCACCCCTCCTCTTCTTCCATCCACACCCCCGGCGCGCAAACAACACACGTCGCGGAAGTCGGTGGGCTGGCATGCGTAACACGTGGCCGAGCTATCGGAGCCTGATGCGTGAAATAACGGTGTATGCGACCACATAAACTAGAAATGTATGTGAAAAGTATTGATAAGGGCGAAAGCGGAAAGTCTGTGGATTTTTTTGAAAGCTGCGGGATAGCTTCGAACACATACTAAATTTAAAGACTATAGTTTCTGACAGGGCAAGAATAGCAAATGGACTTACAGTGCCTTATAAAATCAGCAAATTGAATGACAAAAGTGCAGTCTGCATAATGCTGGGGAAAATATTATCTTGCCTTCATTATTAATTATACTGTCTGACCTGATGAATATGAATCCCCGAGAAACATTTCAAGCCATCCCGCTTAGCAATTCGACTGTATCTAGGTTAATAGATGAGATGGCTCAGCATATAGAAAAGCATCTTAGTTACTGTACTAAACGCCAGAAAACATCCGCTACAAGTAGATGATTCCAACTTGCCTGACGATGAGGCACTTCTCGTGGCATCTCCCCGATTCTTTAATGATAATCAATTAGTGGAAGAGATGCTATTTGCCAGGAGAATTAAGAGGCATATAAACCGGTGGTTTATTTTTGATGTTGTCAGTAGCTATCTGACTGAAAGCTCCATCCCCATAAAGAAAATTGTTCCACATGCATCAGATGTGCCGCCGCAGTGGTCGTAACATATAAAAGATTTTTTGCCTATCCAAAACGTTTACTTTTTCTGTTCATGCAGTTCACCGTGTGATTCATCGCGAGCACCT